GTGAGCTGCTCACAACTGTGCGAAGGGAGTATCCCGCAGGAAATGCAGCTTCCCAGGAAAAGCAACTGAAGTAACAGAGAAAAGGACACCCAAGCAGGAGACCCAAGTCACCCTTCTTTTAAAAGTGACGTTAACAAACTGTGGGAGGTGACCTGGCGTGCTTGCAAACAGCATCCAAGTCAGAAAGAGGTAGGTGATAATTACAGCTCTGCCTCTAAGACTGAATGTTTCTGAACCCCAATTTTCTTATTGGTGAACATGCAGGTAATGATGAATGAACTAAATAAGACAAAGTCTGTGAAAATGCATGGCAATCAAACACGGGAGGAAGAAACAAGCTGGAAGAGCCACTGAATGAATCTCCTCTCTGTGACCTAAGCAAGCAAATTCAAGTCAATCTGGTCTTAAAGCAGAGTGTTTACGGAGGGCTTCGACCTCCATCCTCTCCGAAAGCCCTCCAGTGGGAGAATTCTCTTAAAATGAAGGGAAATTCAGATTGCTACTCAGTCCTTTCCAAACTGTGGCCCGAGTGCCACTGGTGACTCAGCAAGTTTCTGGAGCCCTAGTCCACTTGACCTTGGTGCTCTGCTCATTTCTGGCATCAGAGAAAGGATGGCCAAGCAAGAGCCCCAAACTAGCTGATGGGAGGGCTGTCTGAGGAAGAATCTAGACACCTGTGCAGACGTGCCACGGTCCTCAGTGAGGCCCCCCAGCTGGAGCAGGTTCCTCCCTACAGTTGAGGCTGGGTATTTTCAGCGGTATCTAACTTCCTCACTTTTTTTTTTTAATGGTGCGGTGGGAAGAATGTATTTTCAAGTGAAATGTTATGTTTAAAGTCAGAAAAATATAAAATTTCAAAGCCCCAACACAAATAGCTGAACCACAATGCAGAAACTTACTCTTAGGTAGAAGGGAAGCCAGTGAGCCCTAGAATTAACTCTGCGCCACAGTGAGAAGCAGGGAAAACAGGGCTTCTCATTAACTGCAGATCACCCCCAAGTAAGGGACAAAGCAAACACAAGGGATTAGCCAAACAGGACTTCAAGCCACCGTCCACTGGTCAACCACAAAGGCTCACATTGGCAGAATAAAAAAAAAAACTATTAACAATGTTTTTAAATCCCAGAAAACGAACAGTTCCATATGAGAAAAGCCACACGAGTGGACGTCTTAAGAAAAATCAAAGTTTAAGTTTAAATACACTTTGCTCTGGTGGGAAAAAAATACCACAGCATCTGCCTGCAATCCATTCTTGACTGGTTAGAATGAGCACATCCTAGAATAACTCCTTGGTGTTAATTCACAAAGGATGCGCAATCTACTATTAAGAAGCCAAGAGAGTTCATTTTTTAAAAATCACGTAAGAATACTAAACAGCCATAAACAAGTCACCACAATTTTCTAACAAGAAAATAGTATAGTTAGCTTATCTTCAGAAAGGTAAATTTATGCATCTTAGTTGCTTACCTCCCAATCATAGACATTAAAACTCCCAACAACCAATTCAAGAACCCAGTGTTGCAGACGATCTGCATTTTGCTTAAAATCAAAGATTAACACTCGGCCACAAAATCTAAGAGGGAGTGGGAAATGGAGTGAGGAAAAAACATTCATGTTGAAGTTATGAACATATATGAACAATTTCAAATTTCTGCATAGGAAGCGAAACAAGTGGGATTTACTCCTCTGAACTTATGTAGAAAATGTCAGAGCTCATTTTCACACAGTCTTGCGTAGCTGTCTACCTGTTTTCTGAATGTAAATCTCTTTTGCAGTAAAATATTAAGTTATCAGGGATGGATCTCGGTTTTGTAGGGCAAGTATACATGACTTGAGGGGTCCTCTGTAAGACAAAGAATATAAAATTATGAATATAAATTATGCAGAGGGTACAAGTGAGGGGCCCTGGGCGGGAAGTCCCAGCAGCTTCCCAGTAAGTTCACAAGGGTGAGAACATACCAGGTCTCACATTTCTGCTTCACCCACACGGTGTCTTGCAGAACACAGGGCATTTTATAGACACTCAGTACGTGTTGATTACACTCATGTCAGAATCAAACAAAGGACGTGACTATGAGATTAAACTCAAGGTCGAGCCTTGGCCCAACTAAATGGTTCAAGATATATCTTATCTCTTCATTCAGTTATACCTTAAATGATAGTTTGGATTGAACGTAATTGGAATTCATGTTGATTCTGTTATTTAACGACTGTCATCGAGTAATATTTTAAAAATTAAAAAAAAATGTCCACCCACTATGGTAGGAGAACAAGCAGAAGATTTTTTTTTAATCATCAAATAAAAGCTGGATGTACGTGAATCACAGACTAAACACTCCTGTTCCTGTGTGTGTGTCCACTGTGATGCACAGCTGGGATCCGTGCGCGCTCCCTTGCTGACTGTGAACATCTGTGGCCCATCAGCAGTGGGGTCACCCCATGAGCAGAAGAGGTTACCATTCCAAGGAAAACCTGGAGGAGTTTCTGATGTGTTGACCTATTTCCTCATTCTGCCTGCCAACAGTTAGCACACTGCGTCTTTTTTAATAAATATAAAATAGCAAAAAGAAAATTCACATAATTCTTCAGTTTCTGTTTAGAGGTATGAGGTATTTTGCAAGCAAACAAACTATGAAGGAAGTGACTCACTAATCCCACAGGTGTGTGCTCCGGGCTTAGTATTTTAAGTGCTGCTATGCAAAAACACTGCAGAACTCCCCACCCGTGCTTAAGCCCAGAGCTAACAGGATCAATGTGTGATAAAGGACAGATATTTTGTGAATGTTCCTGAAAGTGAACATATGAAGAATCACCGATCCAAACGACTGCACTCCGTATGCACTCTGTGAGGAAAACTTCTTAAGAAAAACCCACTGTTATCAGTAACCTTAGTCACATCATAACAGAACTTATTAAAGGCCTTTCTTAAGACTGACAGATAGGACTGCATAAAAAGCATTTTAATGTCTTCATTGAAAAGAATATTTGTCAACAACTTTTATAACCAAGGAACACATTAGCAAAAAAAATTTCCAACATATGATAAGAAAAAACTTTAATGTCGTTAATCTATGAAGAGTTACAATTACGTGATCAGTAAAGAGACAATAGTAGTCCAAGATAAAAATAAGGAAAGGACGTGAAAAGAGAGCTCACAGAAAATATACATGGCCAGTAAGTATTTTAAAACATGCTAAACCTCACTCATAAATGTAAGAAACATAAATATAAAAATAATGAGCTACTTCTCAATGGACAGATCACAGTAGGGTCCGCTCTGACGAAAGAGATGAGAATGCCCACAGTTGGCAAGGGCGGAGGGAAAGGAAGGAACAGACACTCTCATTCTCGTGGACAGGGTGTGTGTGGTTGGTGCAGCTTTCTGGAGGGCAGTCTAGCAATAGCTTTCACATTTTAAAATGCTCATCTACTTGGACCCATCAACCACTATTCTATGAAATGATCCTATGGAATTCTCAAACAAGCACTTAGAAAACATACTCAAAGACACTCTTCACAGCCTTGTTTAAAAGTTTAAAAACAAATTAAGAAACTGGAGAGAGCTTAACTCTCCAACCATAGAATACCGTAAAGCCACTAAAAAGAATATAGCTAATCTGTATGTGCTGATTTTAAAAGAACAATAACTTACATTTCTTGAGTTTTCAATATGCCGGCCACTGTTCTAAGCCCTTTATGTATGTCAATGATCTTACTGAAAAAATCTCCAAGATACAAATAAGCGAAAAAAAGAATGTTGCATGTGTACTATGACTCTATTCATATTGTATGTATGATAAACATCATATATAAATAAAAATATATACACATACACTTATATACACCCAGAAAAACTGGGAGATAATACAGAAGGAATAGTTTACAGTTATTATCGAAGAAGAATGAGACTGGGAATGGGACTTGGGGAAGTAGAAATGTTTACTTTTCATTTTTATAATTTTCTGAATCATTTAAACTTTTCACTATGTACAAGAATTACTTACATTTTTTAAATGTTAATATGTGTCATAATTAAATTAAGGTCTGCCCTTGTCTGTTTAATTTGTTTCTTTCTACTTCCACATATTTAAAAAAAAACCTAATAAATGTTATTTAGGAAAAAATAGCAATATGAGAAAACATTAAAGTTTCTTTTTATACCTTTCTATGGTATAAGAATTTTTAACAGGAGCAAGCATTACTTTCAAAATTAAAAGATTTACTAAAAATCAATATTCACTAACTCCAACAAAAACCCCTCATCTCCCTTGCTTCCTTATGAAACCCCAGAATATGAGAGTTTGGGCGAGGTCCTAAATCATCTGTCTGGCTGACAGTCTTCTTCCTCCCAATATCAAGTCAATTTAATAGTAATTTTTTAAAAGACCAAGTCTAATTACAAGCAAAACAAAAACAGTGGGGGGAAATACAATTATCAATGTGTGAATTATAATGTACACTGATCTATTTATTCTGTGTGACCCGTGACTTAACGACACAGATCAAGGAAGATATTTACGTGCACATCCATAAAGCAGCCAGTGCATGGCGAGGTGACTGTTAACGGTTACCAACGTCACCATCACAGCCACTGTCCCCTGGCCACTTCCTATGGGTCTAACACTGAGCTCCATACTCCACACACGTAGCATGTTTAATTCCCACAACAACCTAGGAAGATTCCTGGTTAGCTGATTCTTTACTGGAATTATATACAATTATAAAACTGGGGAGACAATTTTAGGGTGGCAAATAGCAACCGAAATCTACAAGCAACTGAGACTAGATTTCCGGTATATACTCCTAATCCTTTCACAGATTTTTTTTGAATGAGATATTTTCACCAGAAATTGACTGTGAATAGTCTTCACGCCCTTAGTTCCAAAGGGCGTTCCTTCTGGCTACTCCTTCCCCGTGCATCTCTCTGGCACATCAGGTGCAGGGGAAGCAGAGCCGCGCGCCTGAGGTCCCATCCCTGCTCGCACCCTGCAGGGTCCTACCTGTCCAGCAGCAGCTCCAGCACATCTTTGGTGGCGGCAAAGCCTCTGTACGTCGACAGGAAGATGCTGATATAGGTGAAGTCATTGTCCCCGAAGGCCGTCAGCAGGTTCTCCACGAGCTTCTCCAGGGTGCCAGCTTTGATGGTCCTGATCTTACAGGTCTCGTACTGACTGACTGTATGTCCCGGAGGAAGCTGGTCCCCTTCAACCTGTACAACAAGTTCACAAGCATCATCAGGAAATGAAAGTAAACCTGAAAACACTGCAGTAGCTGAGGGATGGCCTGTCACGTTTTCCCTTTGCTGTAATTTAATTTCCCTGCAAGTCAGGTGAGGCAAACCTCTCACCTGTGGGCACAGGAGAGTGGGACGGGAGTAGGGGTGCAGGGGTGGTACGTGCGTTCCCTTCCTCTCTAGAAGCAGAGGTCTTACTCCGCAGACGTTACATCTGCTCCTATGTACTTCCCTACCAAGGACTAGGTTGCTGGCACATTCTGTCAAGAATGTTTTCTATGACCCCAGGATTGAGTTTAGCAAATGTTCTCAGTCATTCCCTTTTGCACTCTTCCACAGTAAAGTTTTCAGACTCATTCTCAAAGACAGCTCCTACACTGGTGTGCTGGAACCGGCTCGTACTGGCTTTGGAGAGCTGATTTTGTAACTTTAGATTTGGGTAGACCAGGTGACATCATGTTGATAGCCTGAAACAAAAAAAATCAGCCATGGAAGGAGTGTGTTCTCCACAGAAAACCAGGGAGATCTGACCGTGATGTGATGCGCGTCAGTCCTCGGAAGGCAGTATACGTTCTGACTAAGCATCATCAGGAGTCAGCAGAGATGGCTGAGAAGGGGCTGCACCAAACAGACCTTGGCTAACCTCTGATAAGTAACGGAAAGGGTAGGTGGGTGCATGACCTCTGCCTTCTGGAGACTTGCGATGTACAAGAGAAGACATTTGCTCATCAAAAGTACCTATCACATGAGAAGGACACCGTGACTAATATTCATAGGTGTAACTGCACGTTGGGAACATAAACCATACTATTTAAAAACTGATTAGTGATAAAAATCTGTGAAGCTTAAAAACTGAGTATGAGGGAAGAGAATTAAACTGAAGAAAAACATGGGTGTGCCTTACACTCCGCAATAAACCTGTACCTAACAAATCATACAGCGATTCGATTTTCAGAGTTCAACCTGCCCTTCACAGGCACTAGGGGAAGATGGCCTACGGACAGGATCCTTCCTGAAAGCAAATAATCATTTTAAGTGATCCAAACAATCACCAGGCGACATCCCTGAAGTGTTAGTTTGGTATTGTTTTACGTAGGACGGTGCTGAATTGAAACAATCAGACACGTGAAAATTAAAGAAAGGGAGGGGAAAAGAGAGAATCACATCTCTAAATGATGACATGATGCTTTAACAGCATGTTTGCTCTTCCTTCGCTGGGCCTGTTGGAAGTTAAACCACTGGAAGGAAATTAGCAGGCGAGACTGCATTCCGTTAAGACCAGAGTGGAGGCCATCACTTTTAGAAGGGGCTTAGAACAGCTTACTGTCATCATGGCTAACTGCTAGCAGGAATTAATACTAAGACTCCAGCATATGTGGTGGGTGACTTTTATTTCTTTATTTAATTTTGAAAGATACTTTGAGTTTACTAAGGAAAGGAATCTGGTTCAGGAGAAATACCGAATGTTTCTTTAGGCCCCTTAGGACTGTGGACTCGGATCGTGGCTTAACAATTGCTCTTTATCTCTCCGTGTGTAGTTTTAGGACTAACAGTACCCACCTATCTTCCAGGAGCTTCAGTTAACTTTAACTAGAAACAATAAATGAAAAAGATACATGGTTTCAAAGTTTAATTACATTTTAAATTACTAGGTACAGTGTTGTCCTAAGGGTGTGCTGTAAACACTAGCTCCAAAACAAAAAGCCCTGTGGTCAGGTTTGGGAACTTGAGAGTTAAACAAGGTCAAATATATTTCTTTGCTGCAGAATTTCTTCAAGTCTTTAATATGCTAACATGTTATAAAACTCCAAGAGAAAGATATGGTAGATGACATTTCCTAATGGATTTCCCTTTAGTCTCAGGGCATCCTGCATAACATTAGGGTGAACCTTCTTTGGAAAATGTTAGCGTCGTAAGACACTGTGATGTATTTAAAAATTAATTCACATTTGCCCCCTTTCACTTAAAAAAAGAGAAAAATCAAGACATTCTAAAAATAAAATGTTAATTTTTATCTGCATACATCTATATTCCTTTGATCTTTTTCTTCAGTACAAAATTTAGGAGTGTTTTATGTGTTTTACTTTGTCGCTTCAAAAAATCTGGTCAAAATAGTTAGCAACCTGATAATATTTAAAAATATGGTTTAGAAATATGCCTCAATGTCAAATGTTAACAACAAAAACAAAAGGAATGGTGACGTCTCAGTTTCTATGGATGCTCAAGCTCTGACTCTAAATCAAGCTTCCTTAATGTGTGACAGTGGCAGCGCTCCCTCACCAAACTGTTTTGTAATTAAACGATTCTTATTTTACTCACAACGCAAATTCCACTTTAAAAGCTAAATCTTTTCTTGCTGAAAGTAGTAACTATTTAAAAGAACTAATTTTTCCCTAAGCAGGGATGTGGCGAAAAAGTCAAACACAGAGAAAAGTGCTTGTCAAAGAACCTGATGAAGTGGGTCCCTTTTCCTGCCAGAAAGGAGATTTGGCAGGAAGCCAAGGCTCCCCCTTGGGAATGGAATCTCGTTGCTCATTAACCCAGTCGCTTCCTTTCAGTCTTCCTTTTACTCTGAAAAAAAAAAAAAAATCTCAACGTGCACGCCTAAGCCTCAGAAGTTCCTTTAATGGTTGCTGTTCCTCAATATTCGCATCTGTACATTAGGAAGAACCATGTTTGAACATAATAGAGTATCATGAATATTTCTATTTTAAAAATTATTCTCTAAGTGCAAAGAGTGAGCATCAATGGCAATGTCATAAATGAAGTCTGGGAACTGCTCTGATGCCTAAAGTCACCCTCACAAAAATTTACAACACATGGGGAGGTGTCAGAGCACTGGCTTAATGTCATTTTCTGCACATTTGCTAAGCACCCTAGCATCTATTTGCTGTAGCAGGGGGAAGACCAGGTTTTTGAAGATGAGTTTTAATGGGTCAACATTCAAATAAAGTACATTTTTAGAAAATAAAAATGTTGGAATTATCTGCTTGGAATTATTTGGAAATAAAATATACAAAAGCGAACCACAAAAAAGATACTACACCTTACGGTCAGACTGGAGAAGCTAAAATTTTAGTTTCATTTTTGCAGCAAAATATTCAATAGCTACATGACCCTTTCAAGAGATTTTAGGATCTGTTTTTGTCTGTAATATCTCAATACCTTTGAATTCTAGTTTAAAAGAATAGTTGGGAGAGGTGGAGGGGAGAGCCTGGGCAGACGAGTGTTTAATAACCCAGACACAGAGAGCAGGGCACGGGGGGCTGAGCCTGCCCTCTGGGTTAGCACGCTAGCAGGAAACAGCTCAATCTGGATTTAATCAGAGACCATCGCTTTACTGACAAGATCATGATGCTGAGGCCACAAGAATGTTTCACAATTGTTTTTTTGGCCAATCCTTCTGCCATTAGAATTCAGCTTTTCCTAAGAGAACATGGCTGACTCCTGTGGGGTAAATACCTAAAATTCTGCCCAACTGTCCAAGTCATGGAATTTCCATAATTACCGATTTGGACATGAGGGGGACAGGAGAGAGAGTATGTGAGAGATGAAATGTGCCATATTTCAATTCTGTTTCCAGTCACTGAGAAATATACTTTCACCTTCTAAGACACAAACTGTTCACAACTTGGGTGTGCCTAATCTGAAAAAAATTTTTTTTCCTTCAATCAAAATAATCCTTTAGTCATCTGATACTTCCACAGGGAATGCGTTAAGTAAACAACCTCATGAGACTGGAGACAGTATGGAGTCCTTCCCCCCGTCAGGCTTAGCCTTCAGTCCATCAGTTCTCAGGCGTCCTGACCTGAGCCAAACGTCAACAGTGACCACTATTCGAGTCATAACTTCCTAAGAAAACCTGAAACCCAGAGCCAGGGTTTTACAGAACACGTCGCCATCTGACCATTCATCCCAGAACACCAAGGGGACATTTGACATTTCCTGTTCAAATGCCCTACAACCACCATCCAGTAACAAGAAACCACCCCAGGATAGGAGATGCCAGAAATGACTCACAAGTCAACTGATCATCTGTCCGTGTTGCCCAAATACATAGAGATTAAATGTCTTCACCAGGCAAGGAAAAAATATGTGGAAGTAAAGGCACACAGCAGAACGTTATGGGAAGGGCAGTGTATCTGAGCATGAAGAGTTACTTACACGTGGGACGTTCAGAAATGTAAGGCGTAGTCTGTACGAACCCCAGGCCATGTGGTGTCAAGCTTGGTGTGAGCTTCTGCACTGTGTCAACTTCTACTTTGGGTGTCAATTGATTTTTTTTGCTAGGTTAGGGTTGCCAGAACACCCAGTTAAATACTAATTTCAGAAAAATAACAAATAATTGAATAATTTGGGAGCAAAAGTATGTCCCGTGCAGTATTTAGTACCTACTCATATGGAAAAATTATTGATCGGAATTTCCAAATTAACTTGGCATCCTGTATTTTCATCTGCTAAGTTTGGCAGCCCTCTGCTAAACGCATACAAAGGGTAGAGAAGGGATCTCTCATCTATTCACCTACTTACTCAGCCACACATGAACTAAATGATACTAGGTGCCGGGAACCATCCAAGGCAGTAGAGATGTAAGGTAAATAGTACACAGTTCTGACACCCAGGGTGTTCAGTCTGGTGGAGGAAACAGACACAAAGAAACCATTATAATGCAGTGTGAGTAAAACAGTAGAGAGATAGGCAGACATCACGAAAGAACCAGGAGGGACCCAACAGGGAGGTGGCATCTGAAAGTGACTGGAAAGATAATGGTGCCACCCACATGAAAGAAAACTGAGGAGGGGAGGCCAGATTTTGGTGAGGCAGAAGCACTGAGTTCCACTTTTTAAAATGTAAAAATTGAAGCATCTTTGGAATTTTCCAATGGTACGGTCCTAGAGGCAATCAGAATCCAAAAGCTGGGGAGAGGGGTCTCAAATGGAAACATGTAGGAGTTACATCAATTAAAATGGCTTCAC